TGTGTGTGTATATATATACATATATATAAGTATCTATATGTTTTGTTCATCACAACTGTACAACTAAGCTGATATAGTTAGTTCAGGCACTAAGAGACGTCGCTACACAGTCAGCTGGCGGCTGCCTCCCTCACACATTCAAGGTCAGACGCACTAAAATTTCACCCCCAACAATACTTTTTGTGGTGTTATTACCCCTACATACACACATTATATATAAGTATCTTCATGTTTTGTTCACCATAACTGTTCAACATAGCCGGCATAGTGCCCAAAGAGCATAGTGGCCACCCATACCAACATGACAAATCATACAGATGTTGCCACCCCCATCACCAAAATGGCTTCTCCCCCACACTCCTTTTGCTGTTATTACACTATATATACACATTATATATAAGTATCTACATTTGTGTTCACCATAACAAACCACTAAGTTGGTATGCTGAGTGGCAGTGGCAGCCAGTGGTAGCCCTGCCACTGGCTGCCACTCACTACCTCCCTCCCTCACCCCACCTGACTCTCCTACATTCTCTTCCCACAATACTGTGTTTGCTTTTATTCACTATATACAGACATTATATATAAGTATCTGCATGTTTTGTCCACCATAGCAAACAACTAAGCTGCTATAGTGAGTCCAGACAGTAAAAGGTGGTCACACTGAGTCAGCAGACAATGCTACCTCCCTTCCACTACAGCGCTAATTATCACAACAATCCTGCTATTATAAGAATCCTGGTCATTTTTATCAGTCAGGGATCTTCTGTAATGCTATCATCACTAAATAATAGCATGAACATATATATTATGGCATTTTTAGGCGATGCTGTGGTCACAAGCTGAACAGCAGTGCTGTGAGCTCATGCTGCGTGCATCAGGCTTGGTGGCTCACTCAATACTGAGGTCCCTGACACTCAGGAATTTGGCCCACGATTTTGAAAAAAAATGGTGGCTGTTTACAAGAGCCCTGATGAAGGTGAGGTGAACCCTGTGTATTCATGGGCCGTTTAAATCTTGCGTAGTACTCCAACACGTCATATGACGTTATGGGCAATTTTTAGCAAGTTATTCAACACATCATATGATGTGTTGTGTAGTTTAAAAGTTAAGTGATGTAATACAGCTGCAGACACCAGACATTGTTGAACTCACGGAGACAAAACTTGAAGATGATACTGTATTTTAAATGAGGTCATATTCCCAAGGGGTTACTAAGTCTGGAGACGGGACAGAAAAATTAGGAAAGGCAGTGGCGTTGCTGTGCTGGCGAAAAAACACCTAAAGGTAAACGAAATAATGATTGCCAATGCACGAGAAGTTGACATAATAGCACTAAGAGATATGCAATCAGGATGATAAACTAATGATCATAAATGCATATAGACCACCGCCAAGCAAAACATGATAAAGGAGGAGCTAGATAATAAAGGAGAGGGTCTTACAACAATAATGAGAGAAATTATAGCGAGAGCTGATAAAGATAGATCACGACTGTTGGTAGTCGGCGACTTTAACTTGAAATCCATAGACTGGGAGGCACATGAAGCTAGAAAGGAGGATTTTTGAACTTGAAGATTCGTAAACCTCATCCTGGAAACATTCATGTTTCAACATGTTAAATAGGCTATGAGGACGAGGGAACGGGATGGTAACTCCATGCTGGATTTCATATTTACCAGGAAAGAGGAAGAGATATTTGACATTCAGTACCTTCATCCGTTGGGTAAAAGTGACCATGTATTTTTGGGAATAAAGTATGCAATGTGCAGGCGATGAGTCACAATAACGTGGCTAAAGTATGATACATATACCAGTGATACAAAGATGCGAGAAACAACTACACGGCAGTGAGGAGAGAGGCAGAAAGAAATTTTGAAAGAGAGATTGCGGACAAATGTAAAACAGAACCAGGTCTATTCTATAAATTCATAAACAACAAACTGCAGGAAAAAGATAATATTCAGAGATTGAAAATGGGAAATAGATTCACAGAAAATGAAAAGGAAATGTGTGAAACATTAAACAAAAAGTTCCAAAGTGTGTTTGTACAAAATGAAATCTTCAAGGAACCAAACACAATAGGAATTCCAGAGAACAACAGAGCACACAGAGGTGTCTAGACGAAGTGGAAAAAATGCTAAAGGAGCTAAGTAAGAACAAAGCAGTTGGTCCAGATGGAGTTTCACCATGGGTTCTGAGAGAATGTGCACCTGAGCTCAGCATTCCACAATCTACAAAAGTGGCAGCAGGGAAGACCCCCTCAATTATATACCTGTATCATTGATAAGTGTAATAGTCAAAATATTGAAAAAAATAATTAAAACTAAATGGGTAGAACACCTGAAGAAAAATGATATATCAGACAGACAGTATGGTTTTCGATCTAGAAGATCCTGTGTAATGAATTAACTCAGTTTCTATGATTGAGCCACAGAGATTTTACAGGAAAGAGATGGTTGGGTTGACTGCATCTATCTGGACCTAAAAAAGGCTTTTGACAGAGTTCCACATAAGACGTTGTTCTGGAAACTGGAATATGTTGGAGGGGTGACAGGTAAGCTTCTAACATGGATGAAAAATTTCCTGATAGAATAATGAGGGCCGTAATTAGAGGCAATGTATTGGACTGGAGAAATGTCACAAGTGGAGTACCACAGGGTTCAGTTCTTGCACCGGTAATGTTCATTGTCAACATAAACGATCTACCAGATTGAATACAAAATTATATAAACATGTTTGCTGATGATGCTAAGATAATAGGGAAGATAAGAAACCTCGATGATTGTCATGCCCTTCAAGAAGACCTGGACAAAATAAGTATATGGAGCACCACTTGACAAATGGAATTTAATGTGAATAAATGCCATGTTATGGAATGTGGAATAGGAGAACAGAGGCCCCACTCAACCTATAAATTATGTGAGAAATCTTTAAAGAATTCTGACAAAGAAAGGGATCTAGGGGTGGTTCTAGATAGAAAACTGTCACCTAAGAACCACATTAAGAACATTGTGCAAGGAGCCTATGCTACACTTTCTAACATCTGAATTACTTTTAAATACATGGATGGCGAAATACTAAAGAAATTGTTCACAACTCTTTATTAGACCAAAGCTGGAATATGCAGCGGTTGTATGGTGCCCATATCTTAAGAAGCACATCAACAAACTGGGAAAGGTGCAAAGACATGCAACTAAATGGCTCCCAGAACTGAAAGACAAGAGCTACGAGGAAAGGTAAGAGGCATTAAATATGCAAAAACTAGAAGATAGAAGAAAAAGAGGCGATATGATCACTACATACAAAATAGTAACAGGAATCGATAAAATTGATAGGGAAGAATTCCCGAGACCTGAACTTCAAGAACAAGAGGTCATAGATTTAAACTAACTAAACAAAGCTGCCGGAGAAATATAAGAAAATCCACTTTTGTAAACAGAGTGGTTGATGGTTGGAACAAGTTAGGTGAGAAGGTGGTGGAGGCCAAAACCGTTAGTAATTTCAAAGTGTTATATGACAAAGAGTGCTGGGAAGACGGGACACCACGAGCATAGCTCTCATCCTGTAACTACACTTAGGTAATTACACACATAACTTTAAGGGATTTGAAGAAACCAAAATAGCAATTATCAATAACAATGTCTAGCTACCAACTAATTTCATATGAATGATATGAACATCAAGGATGTGAAAAGAAGTTCTCGTTTAACAATGAACCGAGAGCGCTAGAGCAACAACGTTTTACTGACGATTATGACAGTACTGTACTGCAGAGAATGATGTACCTGAAAAACTTTATCACAGCAAGTTTGCAGAAGCCATTAATAAGATTTCCTTGGCAGAAGTTTATTATCTATAACCTTTGTCTTAAGAAACCTATTTAACTGTATTATATGCAATGACTCAGGAATCAACTGTATTTTTATATGTACTAGCTTCATGGGACGCCCCCCCCCCTCAAGTTTTGGAAGCTAACCCTTGCAGTCTTACTATTTAAAAATTGGACACAAAATTTCCAGTCTCTCCTCTTTGCAAACCATTCTCACAATGCATCTCCAGTACAATTTTCACTACAGCCAGAAGAATAAAAATTTATACCTTACATGATCTAACTGCCAAATTTTGAAGAATTTTGTTCTGAATTATTTTTGAGTTATTGACCAAATATTAATAGCACCCTATAATTAGTTCTAAAATCCTGCTGCTAATGTTACAAGTATGTAATTTAAAAGCAAATGACAATTTTAAGGTATCCATAAACAAAATTTAAAGTAAATTTTAGATATCACTGAAATATCCTTTTAATAAATAGCGAAATACAAAAATCTAAGAAAATTAACTCCAGCAAAAACATGTTATGGGGGTTGCAAGTTCGATAACAATGACGTAATACATTTGAACAATCACACTCAATAGTTGCCTGGTCATGTAAAGATAATGCCACCCCTTCACAAAATTAAAAACCGATTTCAATAATTTTCACCAGGGGTTACACTAACTAATCTGAACAAGATTAACTTCCTTTTTGTTTACATATAAAAATATGGGAAGTCTGATGTCAATCAGAAGTCACATTCTTAAGGCATCACTTGGAAACTGTTGTGTCAGAAAAACTCATCCCTTCCCCCACCAGAACAGGAATATGTAACATGGATGAACTCTGGCACAGAGAGGAAGACCATATTAGCGTTGTAAAATTTCTCTAGCCAAAAGTGAGAATATTCATGTGATCACCCATCCAGGTAATGGCCACATCTAATGATACTTAATCTCATTGACCAGGTGATGTGCACATCATCCACGGTGCCATAAGATGAATGTCACTATACTGTTGAAAGACAGTATTTTGGAACAAAGTGGTTAGGAGGTGAGCACGAGCCATTACTACCACCCGACATTAACTAATCAAATAACTTTCAAAAGGATTAGTGGTCAACATATTTCAAAATGCTACAACTTGACACATATCACAACACAAAACACTGTAGCAAGCACACCTGTATGAGTATAGTTTATCTTTAGTCTTGTCTTTATCTTTGGTAGGGAGAGCCTTATTAACTGTTATGGTTTTGGTGGCAGTAGGTATAGAGTTGACGGTGGCATTTGTGGTGCTGGTGGTCGCAGTCGCAGCTGCAGTATTTTGTCGTACTGTGGTCACTACCGTCTTGCCACCCTGGACTCTTACTTGCTGCACTTGTTGCTGCCAGGAGAAGATATGTATTAAATAAAATACCTAATATAAGTACAGTACATACAAAATATTACCAAGGAAGGATGGGAAAGTGTTAACTAAGAGAATGAATGGATACCTTTCCCACTATCTGTAGTATGATGAGAAACTAATACCATCACACTCCAGCAAAATATCCATATCTGTTCAGATATATACCAGAGGAAATTGTAATATGCAAATTCAGAGCACCAATCAAACATTTTCTACATAACTAGTCACAAAAATCCTGGTTGCACAACTAGCCTGTAATTTTCCCCTTGCATGCAAATTGCCTACTTCAGTCTTTCCAACTTACAGTCTCTTCTATATTTGTCAGTTCTTTCCCCTTAACATCTAAGTGCTGAACATTATTCATATATTCTTTTTTAACTCATTATCCATACTCCTTTCATGCACCTATTTCTGGTATTAATATCACTCTTTATACTATTCATTATATCACTGCACCACATTCTTACAAACCTGATAACTTTCCCTAACTGATGTGAAAATCTGATTGCGTAATATTTGCATTTCTTCAAATGAACACAAAATATATACTTACAGCGACTACTCTCGTCGGTGCTGGAGTTGTATTTACAGAGCGTTGTACAACAGTAGCTGAGGAAACGGTGGTAGGGGCAACCATTCTTACAGTCCCTGAAGTAGTGGGAGCAACTGGTCGAGCAACAGACATCTAAAACAAAATTCACCATCAAGTCAGTACTTATTTTCCACTTCCACTCTTAGTGTTTACTAGATAAAGCACGCAAACACCATTTAAGAGTTTCTCAACATTTAACAAGAGGGAGTGCTGCAGAATGTAACCTTTACATATTTTCCCTATTATATGTGCAATCAATCCTTTTAAGCATGATGTAGTCATTTTTAATTAAGAGTACAGTAACAGTGGATGCCTCATTTTCTGGACGTCAATTACAGTATTTGAATCACTTGATGGATCACACAAAATTAAGTTTGCAGAATAACTGTACAAATGTTACAGTGCAGAAGTTGACTTAAGAACTGAGAACTGATAGACCAATAATTGATATTGTTGAAGGTGAAAATGGAAGGAACATTATGTATTGTATTCTAGTAAGTTGCACATGAAAAGGATAACACTAGATTGTATGTGGAAACCTAAATGTATAGATACAGAAATAATAACTGTAGGTTAGACTCACAGCAGGAATGACCGTCGTAACACCAGGAACGGTAGTGACTGCAGATAATGGTGGCGGCCGCACGCCATCGATGGTTAATTCTTGTCGTGCTAGTGACAACCGCAGGTACGGTAAAGTTTTCTGAAGATTAGAAAAGCAGTATATTATTTACATGTAACAAAATATGATTTGTCCACCCCCATCTTACACTTCACATACTATCACCACTTTTAAGACCAGGTACACAGTGCTCCTTGTGAAATGTCATATACATTATATTCAAATATATTTAATCCCTTACCATACCTCCTTGTGTTGTTTACAATCATTACCTGCTTCCTCACACAATCACTTACCATGTCAACCCACCTTCATCCAGCTTTTCTCCTTTCCTACCCTTAAACTCACTTTAATACTCTCAATTCACCAGTCTACCATCATCCATTATTAATTCAATATATTCAAACCACCTCAGTGTGCTCTCCTCAATCTTGCAGTTTACAGAGTACTGCATTTCACATATCTCCCAGACTTTATTATACCTTATTCTAACTCGTATTGTAACACCACACATGCTTCACAGACTATCTAATTTTACTACTCTACCTCTTGAAATACAGTATCATGTCCATACCACACTACCATGTTGCGACCATACATAACATTCCCAACCATGGCTCCTCTGTGCACACATTTGGCACCATTCGTTTTATTATATTTTTCTTAACCAAATTTTTCACTGCAGTCACTTTCCATCCTTTGCCCTACGGTAGGGCCCCTACCCTACTTCTCTTATATTCTCAACTGCATATTATTCCTAGATTGGTATACTGTTATCCCCTACATGCTCAATCATATTATTAATAATAATATTATATACAGAGGAACCTCGGTTAACAATTTTAATTCGTTCCGGCACCGAGCTCGTCATGTGAAACGCTCGTCTTGCAAAACAAATTTCCCCATTTAAAATAATGGAAATAAAATTAATCCGTTCCACCTCCGAAAAACATAAATGACTTTCTGGTCCATAGGTTGGAGGAATGTAGAAGTGTTGGGAGGAAGAAACTTGATGGCGATGAACTGATTTTCTGGAAACAAATAATCTTGCGTCTGTGAAGGATGCACAGGAGCATTATCGAGCACAAGCAAGGCCTTGAGTGGTAACTGCTTCTCTTCAAGATAACTCCTCTCTGAGGGGACAGTGAGGAGCTTTGCTATGATTTCTGTCTTTAAATCTACAGTAATTGTGTCTTTCTTCCTTTTCACAAAACTATCTTTAGCAAGCAGCTTCTTAGGCGACATCATGGGTTACAAATGACAGAGGTAACAAGTGGCGACTGTCACCCTGAGACAAGAGCACAGCAACCAACGATCCCGTACAAGACAGGTTAAAACCCGGAAGACACATTCAATGGTCCACCGAGCCCCGACAGGGGTTTCCAGGACCCATAGGGTAACAATTACGGGAAGCCCGGGCAAGGTGTTGCTAACCAGTTAAAACCCAAAACTAACAAGGGGTAGAAGACAACACTGAAAACCCTTGAGACGTGTACAATCACGGGGGGGCCTAGCAGAGGGCCACCAAACACTACCAGTGGAACTATATATCCACACTAGGCAGACCCCTACCAGGCAAAAGGAAATAAAAACAAACAAAAAACCCTGGAAAAGTACACCGTCCCCAGAGGCAACAGGAACCGGTCGCCGCTTAGGTGGCAGGTCGCGTAACACCTTGATGCCCTAACCAGCACAATACCATTCCCTACCCAAAGCCAAACAAGGGCCCTAAACCCCAGCTGGCTCCAAGGGCAAGGCAAATGCCGAGCAGCAAGAACCTCTACGGAAATGGTTCCCGAACGCCCCAGGGAAGATAACTCTGTCAGGCAGGGGCAGTACTCATAGGGCGCTTAGGGAAGGAAGCCCCTAAGCGCATGCAGCCCCGGTACTGATGAGGAACACCTGGCCACCGCACAACACAAAACACGGCAGTGAACGCCACGAAAGGCAAACACCGCCTATGAAACTGAGGCCAGGGAAGCATCTGTCCCGGCTGACATTAGCTTACGAACTGATTTTAGGCAGCCGGCACGGTGAGGTCCGGGGCTCCCCCTTCCCCCTCTTGGGGCAGGAAGGGTTGCGCAGACGATCAGCACGGCAGTAAAGTGTGATGTTTGCTTGTTTCCTTGGGATTGTAGGGAGAACCTCTCTGTTCGGTTTTATGTTTTAGTTTTTACCATGTGGGGTGTGTTTTGTTATGCCTACCTTTCTGGGTGCCTAACCCCGGTCGATGGCAGATAAGGAAAACCCCAAACACAAGGGGGTTTTCCAGGGCCATTGCTCCCTGAAATCTCTCTGAAGGGGCCAGGTTCTGCCACTGGTCCCTGGTAGGTCTGAACTCCTTAGCTAATGTCTCGGTCTAATATAACATACATTAGCCCAATAAGCTGCAGGGAGCCGTAGGGGCTCCCCACAGAAAAGAGCACAAATAAATGCAGAGGGATGCTTATCCTGTGTGATAAAGCAACAACACTGTCATCAATTTGTAAGAACCAGCGGGAAAGCTAGGAAGCACCATGTGGTTTTCTCGTTAACCGAGCGAAAGCTCGTCAATCGAGGTAAATTTTCTGCGAGTGGCTCACTCGTTACCTGAAATGCTAGTAGATGGGGCTGCTCGTCATCCGAGGTTCCTCTGTATATATAATACTATTATACATTATTATTATAATAATATTATATTATAATGTATTATTATTATAATAATGTTGATAAACCTGTAGACAAAGAAATCACACTGATCGCTGGTTTGAATGACCTTATTACTTCAATTGATTTTCTCAATAACCTTTAAAACATACCTTGAGAAAAGGAACAAGGCATGGTTGTGGGGAGGAATTTAAGTCTTTCTGGAGTTCTTCTGTAAATGCTTCTGGCTCCACTCTGCCATCAATAAGACCCTGAATTAAGTTCCGAACATTTCTGGCGACTGGTGCTCTTTGCTCATTTGCTAATTTTAATAACGTGGCCAAGAAGTTTTTACATTTTGTTTTCGCAGATTCTGCCGAGATAGTTTGCTGCAAGAGAAAGGAACAACATTAACAACAGAGATCTCAATATTTATATAATGAAAATATATTAACCCGTGAATGCTAGTGATCAATATATACAAGTGCATATTTAAATGAAGAACATTGATAAAACACAATATATCAAAATGATCTTATGAATTTGATCTGCAAGGAAAAAGTTGTCCAATAAAAGCAGGTCACTCGAGATTATAATAAACCATATTTTGATATTTGCTTATGATTCTCCATGATAATCTAATTTGACAAAATAATTAATTATTCAAGGGCAATAACATGAAAATACTGTAACACTTAAAGGCCTGTCGCTGTTACATGTTGAACCCTGGGGCCATTGTGGCAATCGTCACTTGCTAATTTTAGTCATTAATGCCCGGTTCTTATTCAAAAGAGGAAGAGCTGAATCAGAGAGAATAGACTCTTGCGATCCAAGGAGACTACCATAAATGGCATATCAAAAGAAGATGGTCCAGTCTTAATTTGTGTCCTGACCATTGCTAAACAAGGGGCTTCACAAACTACACTCCATTGCACTCCAATTTAATGGATTAGTGTGTAATGCTTATATGAGGAATTAGATTACCAAGTGTAGTAGGTAAAGCACATGACAGGATAGTAATTGGGAGGACAAATTACTGGGAAATTTATCAGTGATATACTAGTTAAGTTCTGCCGAGTCAAGCCTGAGGCTGGGCTCGGGGAGTAAGAGAACTCCAAGAACCCTCTCCAGGTAAGAGGGTGTGATGCTCAAATATATGTATTGAGACACCTTTTGGAGAAGTTACGAAATAAAATTATAGCGTAAATGGAAGTCACTAATCTCTAGACATCAGTGACGAATAAAATCAATAGTGCCTGCACCAGTGCATAGAACGAAACGCCTAAAATGCAAGGAACTCTAATGTACTTAAAAAAAATATATTAACAATTGTTTTTTCATAGAAATCTGTTAGATTAAATTTGTTGTGTTAATTTTCTACGATACAGTGAATGTTTCTTATTAAAATAATAATTTTTTCATTTTCAGATTTAAGTGGTCACATCTAATTTGATTTCTTCTATTTTCAAGCAAATATGCAGTCCTAAACTGTAGGATGACACTAGTACAAAGTTCTTTTCAGTTTAGTTAATTTATTATGCACCTCATACCCATCCAGTGGGCGATCACTGGTACAGACACCTAGAACAGTACACTGTGGTTAATTGAGGGTATCTGGAGACTAGCATTGAAATTTATTTAATTTCTGGTCTCCAGGCACCAAAACCATGTACAGTATGCATTGCCTCTCCAAATAAATTGAAAATGTTGTCAGTAATGTCTAAGGAATGAGTTAAACACAGAGCCAATGTGAACAAAATTCACAAATAATATGAAAATGCCACTGAAGTGTACCAATACACCTTGTTACAATGTCATGATCACGATCATGCAGGGTAATGCTGGGTATATTGAGCGATGAAGCATTGATAAACAGATCATATAAGATGACAAGAAAATACGCTCACTAATCAGACTTATTGTCATAAAGTGAAAAAGAAAGTAGGAAAATAAATGTGCAATAAAATATGCTACAAGTTCTATATTATTTCAATGGTGACAAAAAAAAAAAAGAGAGAGAGAGAAGTACTGAATTCACTCAATGCAGTGTCAGTGCCTTCTGGAAAAGACAAATCAATCAATAAACAGACAAGCAAAACCATAGGAATCCCCTACTTGACACACCTAATAATAGAAGAAAAGCTAATTGAGAACACAGTCTTACAGAGCCAACTGAAGCAGGCTGAGAGGCATGTGTGGTAGGAGGAGTGGCAGTGGTCAACGTTGGGGCCACAATGGAGCCCGTGACCGTAGTGCCCTGGGTGATAGAGGTGGGGGTGCCAGCTGTTACAGCCTGCGTGGCTATGGTCGTGGTGGTGGTGGCTGTCGAGAGTGCCGCTGTGTTCTGCGGAATAAGAAAATAATTTACTGATACATACTCTATATCATATTTTGAAGAATTTTGTTTTTCCAAATTGGTAAAATGAAACCCAAAGAAACTGAAAAGAAAAAAACAGCGTTGAATGTAATGAAACGTCATTTTCTGGGTGAGACCCAGAGGCTCCCCGGAGCTTACTAGGCCGATATGCTAATGTCAGACTTTGGAATCAGTCATGTGCATGGAATTCAAAACAACACCAGGGACCACAAGCCAGAACCTGGCCCCCTCAGAAGAGGTATGGGAGCAATGGCATATAGAAACCCCCGTGTGGTTGGAAGCATTCTATGTCTGCCATCGATCGGGTCAGGCAGCCAGAAAGGTAAGCATCCCAAAACAAATCCCCATTCTCATGAAAATATTGCTACCAAAAGCCAAACAAATGAATAGAACTCCCCTAAACGAAACGAGCAAAGGATCATGACATCACACGTCGCCGTCTGCGCAGCTCCCCCCTCCCCGGGAGGGGGAGTCCCTGACCTTACACGCTGGCTACCCACCCTTTAGTTCTGAGGCTGGATGTCAAAACATGTGAAAAACCGTTGACTGGAGAGAGGGAGGGAAGGATGCCGGGGAGCCTCCGGGTCTCACCCAGAAAATGGCGTTTCATCACATTCAACGCTGGTATTCTAGGGGAAGCCCCTTCGGCTCCCCGGAGCTAACTACCCACAGAGGATAAAACATAGGGATTTACTCGGGAGGAGGTCGCTGCCCACTCCTCAACTCTAAGTCGAGACAACTGGCTGCAACCGCCGACCCAAAGCGACTCAGGCCCGACTAGGCCCAGGGATGTTCACAAGGTAACGAGCAGCCAGGACCCTGTTCGACCGTCAAAAAACCCCGGGCTCGAAAGTCATCCCACGACATGTTGCCAAAGACGGCAGCAAGAGCAGCGAACTTACGAACGTCATGGGCACGTGGATAGACCGCAGGCTGGCTAGCCTTAATAACTCTGCAGACGACCTGGGAGACCTGCACCCGTGAACAAGAAAGAAGGGAAACCGGATCAACCCAAAGGACGTCCCCTGACACATAAGCCGTGGCGCGCAAATAACGGTGAAGAGCCGCAACCGGAGACACAAAACATGATGCACCCCCGGCCTAACCAACAAAGCATTCACAACCCAGGGACTCCTCCGGAAAGCAGCAGTCTCATTCTTCGCCAGAAAAGAAGGAGAGGGCTGCAAACGAACAAAACCATCATGAAGACCGAAAGAGCAGAAACCCCTGTGCCTGAAGAGAGCATGAAGCTCACCAACCTGACCCCCAGAGGCCATGCCAACAGAAAAAAAGCCTTGGAGAAACAATCCGAAGTGGCCACAACAAACCGAGGAGAAGAAAGATAAGAGAGCACTGTCCAATGACCAGAACGCCTCAGGCGACGCATGAGCAGGCCGGAGGTGAAACAACACCCGAGACAGTTTGTGAAACGGTGCAGAAGTAACATCAATACCGAAAGCAAGCTGAAGCGGCTCCACCACCGCCGCACGATACGAGGTGACAGTGTTAGGCATAAGGTGACGGTCCTGGAGCAACCAAGAGAGAAAGGACAACACCACCCTAACAGAAAGCGAAGTACAACGACGAAGATGCTGGAAATGGAATGCCGCCAGGAAACTTCATACTGCCGCAAAGACGAAACCGCAGGTGGGACACTAACAAGGAAGCCACCCGATCACCATAGAGGTACCGAACCCTAAAAAACTCGAAGAGGAAGCTGGCGATGCAAGGGCCCCCCCAGGGGGTCGAACCCAGCGATCGCAAGAGGCGGAAGTGACACCCCCGAAGGAACCAGAACAGTCGACGAAGCCAAACCCGACCCGGCTGGTCGACCAACATCGCGAAGTTCAGACTCCTGCACAAACCCTCGAGCAACCGTCGGGTGACCCGGGAGCCCATCAGAAACAGGTGCAAGCGGGATCGCAGCTGGAGGAGAGACTCCGAAGGAAGAGACAAGGAAGCGATCCGAGAGTCCCACACAAGACCCAGCCACGACCGAACCTGGGAGGGCACCAGACGGGACTTCCTCCAGTTCACCAAGAACCTGAACCCGGCGAGCTGGGAAAGAACCAAATCTCTGGCTAGTAGACAACTGGACCAGCTGGGAGCCCAAACCAGCCAGTCGTCGAGGTATGCCAATACCCGAACACCTAAAAGATGCAGATGGGCCACGATGACCCGCGTAAGGCGTGTTAACACTTTCGCCCGGGCATGATGCAGCATTGCGTCATCCGTTTACTGGCGGTAATACCGGGGATGACGCAGCATTGCGTCATCCACTTTAAATAATCGCCAAAAATCAGGTTTTTATCCGATTTTTTGGGGATTGGTTTTAAAATGTGCGACGATGTCTTCCCATTTTCTTTGTTGAGCCTCGTGGCCCTCAGGGGGCTTGGCACACGCTGTCGGCCCATTGTTTTCGCTCCACTATTGTGACCAATGTCGCCTCCCCTCACATCTCAAACGTGTGAACATTTCGTCTATTTTCCGTGGCTATATTTCTTACTGCGGCTTTAGAAACTATCTACGCTTACTCCACGATGGATAGTGATCATGAACAAGGCCCTTCCAGGAAGAAAATTGCGAAAGAAAGGCTTGAAAAGGAAGGGAATTGGGAGTGTAGCTGGAAGGCGTCTGAGCGCTCACTCGCGACTAACGTGTGGCCCGTCTTCAACTCGTCGGCGGTTTGAGCGTGACCAGGTTTTTTATTTTATATGCTAATGTTCCTCTAGAGAATTCTATTGCGAACCCATCGAGACCAAAATGAAAGACCTAGGACAAAAAGTGAGGTGACCAGAGTGAAAATAGTGAAAACATTTTATCGCGTTTGAGCACTCCTGGGTAACTCATTCGCTCTCTCTCTGTTTGCTGCGGGTAATTAGCCGGGCTTTTGGAGTTTATATGCATTTAGTGCTGTAGAGAATTCTATTGCGAACACAATGATACCAAATTTAATCTCGTAGGACGAGAATTATGGTGACAAAGTTGAAGAGAGAATTTTTCACTTTTCAGAATTTACGCGCGCTCCTGTGACACCCTGGGTCCCATATCGCACAGTTGAAGGGTGGCGTGCGGGGTACGCCAAAGTGTTAACATGTGAGGCGCCAGATTCAACCCAAATGGGAGACAACAAAGGCAGTAACCTTGACGCCCCACAACAAAACTGAGCCAGTCCCTGAACCCCGATGAATCAGAACATGCCAATCAGCGTCCCGGAGGTCCAGGGACACCATCCAAGAACCTGGCTCCAACAGGAGCCGAACCTGAGACAGTAGTAATCCGAAAGGAGGGGCAATGAACCCAGGGGTTCAGACGGGACAAGTCCAGAATGAACCTCAGGTCCACACAGTCCCATTTCGGCACTGGAAACAGATGGGAAACCCATCTGAGGAACGACATTTTGACGACGGCAAAGCAAACCCACTCCAAGACAACTCAACTGAGCGCAGGAGAAGAAGCCTGCCCCGCAGTCCCGAACCCCCCAAAGGAGGAGGGGCCACCCAAAGCCACCGCAGGCAACGACCCGAAACGCCCACAAATCGTGGGACCAAGCGTGAGCGAACAGCACAAGCCTCCCCCCATCGCCTAGTCAATGGGGCGAACCGCGAAAGGGCTGACGCCCCTTACAAGACCCAGAACCCTGCACAGGGCGAACACCACGCCGACCAGCCGAAGGCGGGTCTGAAGGCGGAGCCAAGCCCGAACCTGGCGCCAGTGGCCTACCATGATGAGAGGAACCCAGAGCCCTGGCACGACCCCTCCGGGTAAACCCCTCCCCCCTCTGGACCCCCTGGGACCCCCCGGAGAACCAACAAGTCCGATATCGGACGGCAACTGGCCGAAGCAGCTTGAATATACTGCGCTACGGCCGCAGGAGCAAAAAGTAGAGGACAAAACGACGAAGACATCCTAAGAAACAGGGCCCGGGCCAATTCCAGAGAGGAGGCAAGCACCGCCTGTCGACATGCGAGGCGGGAAGCGTAAAACTGGGCAACAGCATCCCGCAAAATCGGTGCAAACAGCTTCAACAAAGCTGTCGACGAGCGAGCAGCCGAGCCCAAAGCACCGGACCCCGGAACGGCCCTGAGCGCCAAGCCACATCCTCCCCAAGCCAGTCTGAATGCAGCTCCAGGAGGAAAAAGAAGCGCAAGGCCAAAGCCAAGAAGCCCCTGGGGCACAAATCCTCAGCCACCTGCGCAGCCGAAAGGGAGGAAACCTGCACATGAAGCTGCAGAACACCAACATCCCGCGGAAGGGCAGGAGCAAACAAGCACTCATTGAGGTGCTCAAGGTCGCCCCCCCACCCTCACAGGAAAACCTGAACCACAGTCGAAAACTCACGCCACTCAAGCGTGCGGGAACGACAGAAAGAATGCCAGGCCTCCAATGCAAAGATAGGACAGTCCGCCAGCCAGGATGACTCCGGAACCTTGTAACGTACCCAGAAAGAGAATGAAGTGCCAAACCTGAAAGACAACAGATCCATCACCGAGACGTAATCTGGGTAACGCAGGAGGTAAGCCGTTAGGGCAGCCCGCACCACAGACGGTTGGATGCGTGAAGCCGAAAACCTCTGAAAAGACGGAACCACCACACCTGAGGGGACACGGAACCAAACCCGAGGAGCTGCAGACACCAAATCCAAGTACAGAGGGGCCTCGATTTACGATGGTAATCCGTTCCCAGAGACGTAACGTAAGTCGAACCGATTGTTTCCATAAGAGATAAAGGGAAATGAATTCATTTGTTCCCGACTCTCCAAAAAATTCACTTCAAAGTAAATTTTATACCTAATTCACCCAAATCTTTACTACAAAAGTATGTACAAGTTATTACTTACCTTTACTGACGACTCCTGTTGGCGTATGGAAGATGGTGATGAGGGGGGGAAGAGAAGAGGTGTTACTGCTTGGAAAGGGAGTCCCCTTCCATTGTAACATCAGGCAGTGATGATTTCTCTGGGGTAC